GAGCTGTTTAGAAGCACTCACAATACTACTTGCAGCCAGTCCCCGCCGCTCGTGTACGTCCAACTCAGGAGCCATTCACCCAAAGTAAAAAGTCCGGGGAGCAGGGCAAGTAAACCGACGACCATGAATTTCATGGTGGTGAGCGCCAGAACATATATTGTTGCTTGGCGCATCCAGTACTTGATCGAAGGCGGGTTGCCGTAGATGCCCGACTCGAAGCCTTTGAGGTGTAATCGTTCCGACATGATAAAGGTTAATACTCGGAGGACGACATATATAAGTCCAACACCTGGGAATGGATCAGTTTTTGGAGGCGAGACCGTGGAGAGAGCGCGTACCGAGAGTTGTGTCGATCAGAATATTGAGGAAATAGAATGTGCAGGCATTATTTGACGAATGGTGAGACACCAAGTCCGATATCAGAACGTTGACGCCGTGCACGAACATCTGGCCAACGATTTGTTTCGAAACATCGAAGAGCCTCAACTCGGCGTCAAATGGCGGTCGGCACAAGAGACACAGCGCTCGCACCATATTCTCCACGGACGCATAGGTTTCTCCCGATGTCGTTTGTATACCAACGAGAGGATAACGAGGACGCCCATGAGCCCTTGCACCGTCTATAGATAACCTGGTCAGTTGGCCACATGAAAATGAAGCTGCAAAGCTCACCAGCGCAATGGGGCCCAGCAGCTCGCAGGAATGGGTGTCTACATCGGGCCTCTCAGCAAATACACGGCTTGAGGACGCGCCAGAGGTTATATTGGAGGGTTGGAGGTTGACGTCGTCCATAAGCCTTCGCGCTTATGTCAGTTGCTTCATTTGGACAGATCACTTTCACCTTGACCACGACCATTGCACTGCTTAAGCCACGATTCAATGTCCTACTCGCAGCGAGGCCCCCCTGGAGCTTACAGTTCTCTTCCGAGTGGTCCGCGTGGAGGAGGACGTCCACCACCACCCCAGGCGCCCCAATACCGCGAAAACGCACCTCCGCCGCAGTCTATGCAGTATAATGCTCCCCCTACGCAATATAACGATCCCCCGAGCGCCCAGTTTGAGAAGCGCGGTTACGACCGAAGGCCGCCAGCGCAATCACAAGCAGCGGGAGGCAGGTAGGAACATTGTGGTGGACTTGAGCTCGCCGTTAATAGTATACGCGCCAGTTTCAACGTGGAAGGCTCCCCTTCGAACCCTCTGGCACTCACCAACCGTTTGGTTGTCAATTCCGCCGACTTTCAGCAGGGGCAACATGTGCTGTGTAATGGCCAATTTCCTGTGACCGTCATGTAGGTTACTTTACCCGCCCTTTGTTCGGTGTTTAATCAAGTTCAAGCCACGACAACACCGGAAAGATCAGGCCGGGATCCATCGGCGCGTCCGCATTACAGCGGCAATGGATTGGCCTCGCCGTGGCGGGCGACACCATCTCGATGGAGCCCTTTCCGACGCAGCCCAATTATCTCCAATCACTCGACCTCGAAGTCGGATTCCTGCGAAAGACCGAGAGCAAAGAGGCCTATTCTGCCGACGAGCTCGCCCGCAACTTCATCAAGGCCTTCAATGGCGTCGTCATGGCCGTCGGCGAGATCCTCATCTTCGACTACCATGGCCAGAACCTCAAGATCCTCGTAAAGAGCCTGCTTGTCCTGGAACTACCGGAGCAGCAGGGCGGCGGGCGTCGGCGCGCGGACCATGGCCCCGACCCGCGCAGCTTCGGGATCCTTATGGACAAGACGGACATCACGATGATGAAGGCCGCTGAGGCCAACGGGATCAACATCAAGTCCAGCGCGAAGAAGGCGCCCCCAAATGCCATCCTCGCGCCCAACTTCAAGTTCGAGGATATGGGTATTGGTGGTCTTGACACCGAGTTTAGCGAGATTTTCCGGCGTGCGTTCGCTTCGCGTGTGTTCCCTCCTGGCCTCGTCGAGAAGCTTGGTATTGAGCACGTCAAAGGTGGATCTTACCTCTAGTTTTTCATGGCCACTTTACTGATGGCCGCAGGTCTCCTACTCCACGGGCCTCCTGGAACGGGAAAAACCTTGATCGCTCGGCAGATCGGAAAGATGCTGAATGCGCACGAGCCCAAGATTGTGAACGGTCCCGAAATCCTCAGTAAATTCGTCGGTGCCTCGGAAGAGAATATCCGTAAGCTGTTCGAGGACGCCGAGAAGGAGGTTCGCGTCATGTTCTTGTTGTCTGTTCTTCGCTGACAGCGACTCTAGTACAAAGAGAAGGGCGATGAGAGCGAACTGCACATCATCATCTTCGACGAGCTCGACGCCATCTTCAAGCAGCGTGGGTCAACGAACAGCGGCACCGGAGTCGGTGACAGCGTCGTCAATCAGCTGCTCTCCAAGGTTTGCCTCCCCGCCCTTTATAGTCTCACAACAACTAAATGACCCGTAGATGGACGGTGTCGACTCGCTCAACAACATCCTCATTATCGGTATGACCAACCGACTCGACATGATCGACGAGGCGCTCCTGCGTCCCGGTCGTCTCGAGGTGCACATGGAGATCTCGTTGCCCGACGAGAAGGGCCGGCATCAGATCCTCAACATCCACACGGCCAAGATGCGAACGAACCGCGTCATGGACGAGGACGTGGACCTCGAGGAGCTGGCAGCGAAGACGAAGAACTTTTCCGGTGCAGAGATCAACGGTCTCATCAAGAGCGCGACCAGTTTTGCGTTTAACCGACATGTCAAGGCATGCTGTTTTTATTTCGAAATAACAGAGTACGAATACTAAGCGTCGCATGGATAGGTCGGGACCATGGCCGGTATCAGCGACGACGTGGAGAACCTACGGGTTAACCGGAGTGATTTCCTGCACGCGCTCGACGAAGTGCACCCTGCCTTTGGTGTGTCCGAGGAGGAGCTGCAATCGGTTATCCAAAACGGAATCATCCGCTTTGACAACATCGTCGATGTACGCATGCCCTTCTTAACCAGAACCCCCGCTAATACTGCACAGGAACTCCTCCGTTCCGGCAGCCTCATCGTCGAGCAAGTCCGGACCTCCACCCGAGCGCCGGTCGTCAATGTCCTCCTGCACGGTCCGCCAGGAACGGGGAAGACGGCGCTCGCTGCTGCCATCGCCCAGGCGTCGCAGTTCCCCTTCATCAAGCTCATCACGCCGGACAATATGGTCGGCATGGGTGAGACGCAGAAGATCTCCGCCATTAACAAGGTGTTCTCGGACAGCTATAAGAGTCCGCTGAGCGTCGTTGTTGTGGATAACATTGAGCGGCTGATTGGTGCGTGAAATGGTGGGTGAGGCGACGCGTCGCTGACTTGACACGCAGACTGGTCGCCCATGGGCGCGCGCTTTTCGAACCCTGTGCTGCAGGCGCTGCTGGTGCTGATCGGTCGTCGGCCACCGAAGGTTCGTTGTTCTCTGCAAATTCACTTACCATCCTAACGTTCTCATCTTCTCAAGAACCACCGCCTCCTTGTGATCGCCACCACCTCCAACCGGCCCATCCTCACCGACCTCGGCTTTGTGGAATTCAACGCCGTCATGCGCGTCCCGCCCATCACCAGCCTCTCCGCGCTCGAGTACGTCATCCAGGAGGTCGAACTCTTCCCTCAGGATGAGGACCGACGCGACGCCGTGCGCATGCTGCGTGACGCCGGCTTTGACAAGAAGTCGCGCGACGATCCGTCATCGAGGCTGCAAATTGGGATCAAGAAGCTGCTGAGCATTATTGAGATGGCAAGGCAGGAGCCGGACGCGGTGGCGGAGCGGTTGACGACGGCGCTCATGGAGCTTGACTTGTGAGAGGTGGGGGATAGATCAAGTAATGTATAGATTTCGCTTGGGTCACTGCGAGGAAGGACTGCAGTAACTAGAAATAAAATGGACTGAAGAATCTCTTCCGCTCAGATTTCCGTCAACTCCAGGTCATCTCTTGACTCCCTCAGTTGAAGACAGGAGACAGTCTGCTGAAAGCTTAGTACATACCAGTGCCCAACCAGTACTTACCATGTATCATCCGGGTTTCTGTGTTCACCGAGAACGATTCTCGGTCGCGCTGAAGTGACCTTATTCTTCATGGGATGATCGAAGTCCGAAAAATTTTGAACATGTTCAAGTTGAACTTAGCGTTGAAGTTGTCAAATAAGATCAAAGGTCGCCAATTGCCATTAACCCCTCACCTTTCCTTCGCGAATATACATAATGAATTTGAGCAGAGACTGACCAGCGGACGGGATATCACTGTAAGGTAGGTTGAAGCGGGACCCAGATATGACTAGAAAACTTGTGTTACCCCACTGGAACCCACTGTGGTTCATTGCTGGGGCTCAAATCTGATTCAAGCTCGAATTCCTCGTGACAGAGTAGACAAGGATGCGAAGAGAATGGACCATAAGAAGTGACCATTCAGAATATTATACACTTGAGTCGGATGACCTCCTGGTACCAACCAGTGCTCTGTGGAAGGATACCCTGTTTCATTCAAAATTGACAGTGTTTCAGTCACGATGCTCATAGACTCTGGGTGTCATATTCGATACAATTATTGAGATTCATGAGGTGGCCAACTCGAAGTTGTGCTTTCGAGAAGTCCAGGTTAGGTTCGAGTTGCTTCAGACTTCTCGCATATTCTTCCGTCTGGCAGGGTAGTTCTGATAAGGCTCACCGCTATAGTCAATACAGACTATTTTGATGAAAATTGGTTGATACGAGACGCAGGTTGAACCAAGGTTGAACTCCCTTCGCATCAATTGCAATCGGATCAGTGATGCCGTCGAACTTCATGTCTATTTCTCGACGGGGAATCCGCCGTTATTCACGAAAAATTCGCAGCGTGTGCGAGAGATGCATTCGGCTCGATTCAGGTCTTCAGAACAATATCCTGACGTAGGGAAACGGAGGCAAGCGTGATTCACCGATCACAGCCGAAAAACAGCGTTTTTGGTCGTTTTTGGCCATTTACGCAAGAACGGTTCATTCCGGACCTTCAGAACAAGTCCAGGACAACTCAGAACGCCCCCGTTGTCTAATGGTTATGACGTCAGACTTCTAGAAACACTTTGAAACGCTTTATTGCGTAATTTTCCGGATCTGGAGGTTGCGGGTTCGAGTCCCGCCGGGGGTTATTTTTAACATTTACAATGTGCGCCTTGACTGTGGCTTTCGATTGAGCCGGGTTTCAAGTGTTTTGGATGAACGGTTGTTGAGTTATGAATTGATTTGTCCCTCATCGGTGATTTTAAACCACCATTAAAAACCATTCAGAGCGGAGGATTCACACGTGCTAGCTCAGAAAGCGGAACCTTCACACGTGACAGGTCCACCATGGCTTCCTGCTGCACTTGAAGCCATGTGTGTTGGAGTGCAGGTTGCATAGCTACGAATTTCCCTTTCCGTTGTGTCGGGTTTCAACCAACGGATAACAATGGTAAACAGTGGTTGAGTTTCGGCCTCCACAGATAACTCATGCAAAAAACACAGCTCAACTCTCTTCTTTGCCATGTCCCATACTCATTCAAACGCACAGTGCTCCATCAATATAATTTACTGTGGGTTGGGCAAAGTCAAGGTGCAAGTTGTTGTCTCGAGAGAGCACAAATTTTGGCTCGCGTCTTCCTGTCATGGTAGAGGAACTTTTGTTTCGAATACACACTCGCCGCTCGTTGGCCTTCTCGCTCAGAGCATGAAACCTACCTTGTGGCGGCCACATGTGCTCCCACGGTTGGAGTTCAATTCAATTTTCGGCAGCCGAGGGCACAAAAATTTATTCATCTCGAAGCGGCTGGTGGGCAATTACAAAGTCGAAATACATTCGGGACTCGACCGGTCGCGTCCAAGTGGCTTGTTGACTGAGTATCTGATTTGTCACTAGCATCCCGCCAGTTTTGCCGCCAACCGACCCGAGCACTGACTTATTCAACAACAGTCTTTGAAAGTGGGGAAAACAGCTAGCTAGTAGGTATCCAACGTTCAGATATACTATCGCGAAGAGATTGGGTGCCATTATCAATTTTCTCTTCCTTTACTCAGAATACCCAAAAATATAGCCCCAGTGCCAGCGCACACCAGCCAGCCCAATTTTCCTTCACCGTACCAGAGTTGGTCCGTCGAGCTGGTGGAAGGTTAGTGCTTATCACTATTTCAGCAAAGTCACGCACCGAGTAGTACAACCGCGCTCTCGATCGGCGGACGAAGTGTATCCCAATGGTTCCTCGCAGTTTCCTCTTTCATCCCGTACTTTTTGCACACCGTGATGAGCGCGTTGCCAAGCTTGTCCATCGCCAACCCATCGATAATGTTTTCGTGGCCGCGAGACGTTTCCTTGAGCACTGGTGCCCAAACTTCAAGGTCTTCGACGACCTTTTCGAAAGCACGCTTCAAGTCCCCCACGATGGTCGTTTCGTCTGCGAGAGCTGGACCGTCTGGAAGGGATGCGCATGGCTTCGTCGATATCTCGACCTCATCCTGCAGCGCGATGAGACTGTCTCCGACAGCGCTGATCAAGCCCCTCAGCTCGTCCACTTTCTGCTGCACAAAATTGGCTGGCTCCCCCACACACTGCTGAGGGTCGTGTTGCAGATGGCCCAGATGCTGCACCAAATCGCCCTTCGAGTCACCATGATGCAAGATGGAGTCATGGGCGTTGGCAGAGACATGCGCGATGAACGAGAGGAGCAAGGGCACGCGCAGGCCGGGGCCCAGATACGAGACGGCTGCTGCAGGGAGGATCGAGAAATACGCGGCAAGGGCTAGGGCGTTCGGTCGCATGGTACGTGGGAGGGGAAGGTGAGAAAACACGCCTTGCTCCTTTATGATAAAGAGAGGCGCCCACGAGCTAATTTGACTAGTGGGTATTAGTGCGGGTCTCGTCTCAATCTTGGTCGTGAATTTGAGCCGCAGGCGAGTGGGCCGTCACTGCATGTGTGGTCGGCCGGCCTCACCGCGTCGAGGTGGGAGGCAGCCGGTTCCCACGGTTGAAGTTCAATTTCGGCATACTCAAAAGCCCGCGAATAATCCAACCCGTGGGACGAGGGAGATCTTGCAGCCGACGAGGACTCGAAACACGTCCGGTACCCAACCGGGACCTCCGTATCTCACAATCGAGTTAGATTAGCAATTTAATCAAGTACACGGAAAAATACTCTGCAGGCGGGTGGGACAAACGGCTCCGTGGGGTCCTGGTGGGAAGGGGTACGAGCGACAAGGTGCGGATTGCGCAGGACAAGCGCTTGGACGGATATGAGACCAGGTTGATACGCCGATGCAAGCCGACGCGCAGGACGGTATAGTTGGGATATGTTTGGGCGACGACGAGGAGCAGGGAGTGATGAGCCGAATTGCAACAGGATGAACTGCGAGCACATGGTGATGATGGGCCAAGCTGCGGATAGTATGGCGCGACCGACAAACTTGTGGGAGGTTCGACGAACAAGCCAGAGAGCGATGATAGTGGAGGATACTGAGCTGAGAAAATGATGGCAGGGAGCCGGCCATAGACAGCAGTCGAGGCGAACGGAATAGAGGGTTCGCTCGGTGGATGGATGTCGACCAGGTCGCGGATGACTCCTATAAATAAATAAAAATCTATATTAATTCTTAAGAATATACAAAATAAATTTCAAATCAGACGTTGGTGAACCCGGCGACTCGGATGATGTCGTCATATAGACAGGAAGACGAGCGCGAATTGAAGCTTCGCTCGCCAATTGAGAAGCTCGAGGACGGTGATGATGATGTGCTCGCAGTGGAGGGCCTCCTTCGCTCGGGGTGAAAGTTGTTTGGGGCCATACGAAGAGTCGAGCGGGCGGAATTGAAGCTTCGTTCGTCGGTTAAGAAGGATTAGGAATCCGCGGCGATGATATGTGCGGAGCGGAATGGAGGCTTCGCTCGTTTGCCCCAGGTGTTGCTCGACGGCGCCCAGGAATTGAGGACGCGAGTGGAATGGAGGCTTCACTTGGTAGATATGTCTCCTAACAGTGTATTGCGAACGAAGGCTGCAAATCAATGTCAGATAATTGCAAGGTCTGGAAGAGGAGAGACGCACCGTCAAGACACCAAATGAAGCCAGAGAGATAATGCCCCTTCCGCCCTAGGAAGTCTTGTCACCGAGTCCCGCCTGCCCGGCCACAGTCGCGAACTATCCACGTTCTATCTAAGTACATTCGAGAAAAACCGAGCCACGGGAAGTTGGAAAAGTCCGGGAAAGGTGAAGAGAGATGGGAGAGTCGCCAAAGATGTCGTCGACGAGAAGGCTGTGGGTCATGATGAACATTCAGTATTTCGCGAGCGCGATGAGGCACACTTACTTTGCAATCACAACCAAAATTCGACAGCGACGATCGGTTCTGGTCAGACTAAGAAGGATCGTTGCGAGTTGCTGCAAGTGGTGGGTGATGTTGGGGAATAATTACGTCGGCAGCCGGATGCTCGCTGAGTAGTAGCATTAGCGAATGGCATTTGCGTGGCCGCCGACTTGTGGCGGTTCACGAAACACCGCCTCGTCTTGGTGGGTGGGTTTGCGTCTTCTGTGTCTGCGTTGCGATTGCTGTAGCGCCCAGCGATGCTTATTTTGCTCTTTTATTTCTTTTCTTTATGGTGGTGGTTTCTTTTCTTTCTTCTTTTTTGAGCTTTTATTTGACGCTGGGACAACTGAGCGAAGTTGGGGAGATGCGGCAAGACACTGTGAACGAGATTTAGCAAGCGCTCGCGAAGGACGATGAAGACGCATACCAGTGACGACGAGGCGGGGAGCTGTTGAAGACGGCAACCAAAGCCCTGCCCTCCACGCAAACACAATCCCAAACCGTTCTACTTTCTTTCCACCGAGGAATCGATCGCGCGCGTGTGTCGGGAAGGTGGCCAACCTTTTATGACCTAAACAGAAGGGAGGAGTTTGGTTAGTGGCGTCCCCGCCCGCGCCCTGCCCCCCCGCGTCGGTGATCAAGCGACGCGAGCACCACACGTTTGCACACATTTGCCCTCCCCAACCCACGGCGGCCGGTAGTGCACTACCTGGAACGAGGCGACAAATCAGCACGAGAGGATGAGAGACAGACGGTGGTCGACTTACAGCCACAGACTCCCGTCGCGGCCCCATACGGCACCTGCAGAGGGTCATGGTGAGTGGGAAACAAGTGAAAAGTGCGACATCGACGTACGCGACACTCCGCCCTACCCGCCGCCCAGTCGAGGTCTTCGGGGCCCAGTGTCGATCTTGAGGTGTGGAGGTCGTCCAGCGGCTTGAGGCACACGTCTTGAGGTCTGAAAGGCTCCCCGCGTGACTATGCGCCAGGGAGGTCTTTAGAACGAAAGCTGTGAGAAATACGAGCACGCAGCGTTTCGAGGGCTGGGTGCTGAGGTTGATGGTCGAGGTTGGGAGCGAGGTCGACGAGAGGGCAAGGCCAGAATGTCGAGGGGGAGAGTGGTAGGAAGCCGCAAAGCTGACCGTCACGATCGCGGTAACGTGACCTTGTCTCGGTGATTGGCGAGGGCGGAGCTTGAGTTCGAAACGTCGACGCGTTGTCGGAGAGCCAGAGTCAAGCTTGGTCGGTTTGTGTGCGTGGCGGTATTATTCCGGATAGCATAAAGGATCTACTCTGGTATACAAGCTTTTTAACGGAACAGGTACTGAAAACATAATGCGACAATAATAAATACAGAGCGACGTGCAAACCAAAGAACGAAAACAGGCATCCGAACGACTACGGGCGCGGCGGTATCAAGACATGATTTTGAAACGGATGCGCGGAGCGGGGGGAGCCTTGGGTGCCAGATATCACGATCTTGGCAAGCGACGGGCGAGAGTCTCTGCGGAGAATCCTGCGTCGACGAGGATTGGCGTGCGGGCTCGGGAGACAGTCTGAAATTGTTGTTGTTGTAGCTGCCATTTCTCTCCGGCGAGGTGGGCTCTGCCGCCTGCCTCTTCGGATAGATAGGGACAGGCTCATGGAACGCGTGTAATTCTTCCAACTTTCGTTTCTTTGAGGTGGCGCTCGTTGGAGATCCTTCGTCAGAAGGGCCATTCCAGCGAGACCAAGGCGGGGGCGGCGGGGGAGCGATGACGTTCGAAGGGGGTGCCGGTGCATATTGAGCACTCTGCGACGCTACAGGAACGACGCTTTGCGC